GGAACCTTATTTGGGAATTGCCTACACTGGATTGGCCTGTGACCGTGCCTGTGAGAGATTGTCTTAATTGATGTGGGAGGACCCAGACCACTGCGGGCGGCCCCATCCCTTAGGCAGGTAGTCCTGGGATGTATAAGGAAGTTAGCTGAACATGAGCCTGAGCAAGCCAGCGAGAAGCATCCCACTGTCTTCTGCTTCAGTTCCTGCCTTCAGTTCCTGCCGCGACTCCCTCGGGGATGGACTGTGACCTGGAAGTGTAAGCCAAAGAAACTTTCCTCCCAAGCTACTTTAGATTAGAGTGTTTGTCTCAGCAGCAGAATGAAACTAGAACAGGAACCAGTGAACGTGTCTTTGGTCTATCCCATCTCCTTCTCATCCATCCTCCCTGGGCTTAGCCCTCGAATGCAGGAGTCAGAGCCTGGGAACATTCCCACAGTCTTTCCTGATCAGGGATCCGATTAAGCTTCTGCAAGTGAAATCTTCCTGTGAAATCTGGAGCCTAACAGGATAGGAAGCCGACTGTGTGATGCTGCGAGGCTTTGGCCTCAGTGAAGGCTAAGTAAGTAGTTTCTACCAGAAGCAGCACCATGTTTCGTTTGTGCACACAGTCAAGTCTACAATGCTGGTTTCCTGTGGCTTCCACTCTTCTTGGAGCCCCCGACATGCACTTCTCTCAAAGCTCTGTAAGCCTGTGATCCCCTGCATAAAATCCTCTCTTGATGGAAGGACCTGGAAGGTTTCCCTGACCCAGCTGAACCTTACCGGTAGGTACTTGTCCTCTGCAGCACAGAGCAAGAGTCAACTTGTCTCCGCTTTGGTAAAGAGACTTTCCTATCATCAGTTGGTTCTTGTTATTATTGGTATTCTTACGCTGTGAAGATGGTTTTGTTTAACAAGAGAAACAGCCCCTGGTCTATGACACAAATTGTCAAACTTTTCTCCAGGTTTTGGGTTAGTTTATATGAAGTGTTTGACACTAATATTAAAACAATTTGGGGGGCTGTGGGGATGGCCCAGTGGGTAAAGTGCTTGGTGTGCAAATATGAGAGCCAGAGTTTGAATCTCCAGAACCTATAGGGAGAGATGGGAGGTAGAGATGGTGGACTCTGGGGTTCCTGGGCCAGCTATCGGGCTTCTACAGCCATAAACAAGGTAGAAAGTTAGGACCAACTAAAGAGGTTGTTCTCTCTCTCTCTCTCTCTCTCTCTCTCTCTCTCTCTCTCTCTCTCTCTGTCTCTCTGTCTCTCTCTGTCTCTCTCTCTCTCTCTCTCTCTCTCTCTCTCACACACACACACACACACACACAAAAACAAAAGAAAACCACAAAACCAAACCCAAACGAAGCTAAAGGAAACAATTTTTATGTCATTGAATTTATGTTCTTCTATAGTGTCTGGGTTTTGTGTTGCACTTAATATGATGGGGCAGTGAGCCCTCACCTGTCATCTGTGGGTTCCCCTGCTTTCCAGGCTCCCTGGAAGCTTGGGGACCCTTGCCTGGCATTCCTTGGCATCTACTTCCTTCCTCTCCACTTAGCTTCACCATAGACTGGGGTGCTATGCCCATCCCCGAGCTCTGTACTCTGAATGCCAATGCTCCTGAGAACCTGCTAACAGCGATAATTGCTGGGCCTCCTAGTGAGCTGCCCCGTTTATCATTATAAAGTGACTTGTTTTAAATAATGCATTTTGTTCCCAAATAAGGCCTGTCTGGTATTGATTGTTGTCCCTGCATTTTTAAACAACGCATTTACCTTCTGTGCTTTTATCTTTGACCTCTGTGAGCAGCTTGTTTTCAGCTTATCTCTGGGTTTTCCCTCTGGAATTAGGCAAAGCTTGGGCTGAGGTGCAGATCCTTCCAGCCTGGGTCTGTTGTCATTGTTTGTACTATCTCTCAATTCACCCTGGGGATGCTTGCACTGCTTCCCCAGGGCTTTGGTCCTTCCTTCCTTCCTTCCTTCCTTCCTTCCTTCCTTCCTTCCTTCCTTCCTTCCTTCCTTCCTTCCTTCCTCTCTCTCTCTCTCTCTCCCTCCCTCCCTCCCTCTCTCTCTTTCTCTCTCCCTTCCTCCCTCCCTCTCTCTCTCCTTCCCTCCCTCCTTCCCTCCTTCCCTCCCTCCCTCCCTCTCTGTCTCCCTGCCCTGCATCTCTCTTATGTTTGGAAGGTGGGATGTTTGCTTCAAGGACCATCTCTTAACTCCAAGTGTCCTTATCCTCTTTTGACACCATAGACAAATAGTGAGAGAGAATATGTGTGCCTCAACTTCCCCAGCCTCTGGGTTCTGTTTGACTTTGTTTTAAAATCTTGACATTCACTTCTGCACGTTTAAAGTTGATTTATGTGCCTATTAATTAATGTCTACATCTAGGTAAATATTAAATATCTCTAGACTGCTTTCATATTTGTCAGATTAGGCATGTTCCTGTTGCTTGATAGATCTAATTATGCATCAGCTGATTTGTACACACCAACATTAATACTTATGACATAGAAATTAGGATTTTCTTTGGTTATGACAGATGTTGAAATCTGTGCTCTTACACCATTTCTCAAACTCCCCTGCCATTTTCCTTCTAGTCTTCCAAAGCTGAATGTTTCTAAGATGCTCTTGTGTCTAATCTGAGTATCATATCTGCTAAACTAATGTACTGCACTGATTTTAGTATGTGTGCCATAGTCAAGTGTGTGGGTCTGTTCCCCACTGACTGGTTTGAGGGTTAGCATCATGGTTAAATTTGTTTGACAAGTTCTTTCATTCTCTCTTGCTCAGCCAAGGCTGCCCTCTGGTAGTGTCTTGAAGATTGGTTCCTTTCATGCTTCTATTTGATGCTTATTATCAATTCAGAATATTAAGATTTTGACTCAAATAGATCTTTGAACTTGGCGTTTTGATTGAGTTTAGTTTCAAAAATATATTTACCATTAACTTTAAAATTTTTATTTGTTTAATTTTATATGTATGAGCAGTTTGCTGCATGTACGTCTGTGTGACATGTGCCTTGTGCCTGTGGAGGTCAGAGGTGGGTGTTGGATCCCTAGGAACTGGAGTTACAGAGATAGTTGTGAGACACCATATGGATGCTGGGAACTGAATCCAGGTCCTCTGCAAGATCAGCCAGTGTTCTTAACTGCTGAACCATGTCTCCAGCACCATCATTTGTCTTTTTATATTAAGGATAAGTTGGCAAGCTGTGAGACTTCGGGGTTGCACCTTCCTTTGGGGAGGACGGTGCAGGTATCAGTCTTCTGTCCCAGCACTGAATCCTGCTCTTTGGCATCACAGTCCAGCCTGACGGTTTACATCTTGCCCACCCATTTCCCCTTTTCTTCCCCCTGGTCATGGACCACTCTTGCCACATCCATTTTTGTGTTCTCCAGATGTTTTTGTGTCCCACTGGAGTGATTGTGCACAGGGCTGATTCCTTTATGAATTTGAAGACCCTCCTGATGGTTGTGATATAACTTGGCACGTTAGACACCAAGTAATGGGTGTGTTAGACGGAATGGGGTGTGCTAGAGGCCGTTGTTTCAAGTTTCCTTCTTGTGACCACACTGGTGAGCATTTAGTTCACAGCATAGTCCAGCTGCTCTCTGCTTTAACTCCTCTCGCAGATGTGTTTTCCTGGGATTCCTGATTCAGGCTTTCACTACTCTGGATGCTGCAAGGTTGGTCCACAGGCTTCTGCTGCATGTCTGATACCAAACCCCTTGTCCTAAGCAGGGCCGTTAGTTTCCACAGTGGTTTTGTCACCCTGTTCCTGCCACCTGTCACCACAGGTAACTTCCTAGCCACCTCTGCTCTTCTGTTTGATGTTTATTGCACAAGTCAGCTCTCTCTGCACACAGGGGCTTAGGGCTAAGGCACCCCTCTGTTTGTTATTTTCTCTTTTGGTTTTGGTGAGTGTTTGACAGGAGGAGGGGAACCACTTGCATTTAAAGGCCAATCTTCCTGCTTCTGTCAGTATCTCAGTTACAGCTGAACTCTGGGAATGGTGCACCAAGTAGGGAACCTACAGTAGATCCAAGAGAATGCATTGTGGCAGGGCAAGGGGTGGGGCAGGGATTGTCACAGAGTCCACACTGCTGTCCTAGAGTTCTGACATGGTTTGGGCTAGGCACACCGTTTGTGCTGGTCTGGCACAGACTGTGTAAGGGCTCCAAACAGGAACTAGGACCAATCGGGCTCTGGTAGGGACAACTGTGTAGGGCTTCATCACAGCAGCCAACCCACATTTAAATGAACTAACTACATGCAGTTTTTCCAGCAGTAACTTAACACAGGGCTTCTGTGACAGCTGTTGAGATGTCACCTGCATCCTCCTTATGTAGGGTCTGCTCAGGCATCAGGGATGGTTCTCTACCCTTGCCCTGTCCCAAACCCCCCCTCCCATCCCTGACTCTGAGACATGCGATCCTGACCTATACTTCCAGGCTCCGGGCTTCATGGATGATTGAACACTCAGCCAGAATCTTGATGCTTAAGTGTCTTAGTCTTTGCTCCCACCTCAGAGCCCTCTGCTGCCTTCCTGCCCCTTGCTTACCCTGGTCCTGTGCAGTCCTGAAGCTGAGGGCTCCCTCGCAGGCCCTGCCAAATGTCAGGAGTGGCAGTTCTGAGTCAGCTTGCACTTCCATTCTCTCCTGTAGCTGAGGGAGAGACGTCATATGGGCTGTATCTTCATGTCCACCTTGTGCCTTACGTATTCAACGGCGGCACCCAAGGGGATCTCTGTCTGTTTGCTAATCCTCTAAAGCAGTGTTTAGGTCACCTTCCATAGAAGCCCAGAGAGCAGGGTTCTGACTTGTGAGGAATAGAAGGGAGGGAGTGTGACGGGAAATCTGCAGAGCACTGGAGAGGCAGAGCCTGAATTAGTGTGGAAAGGTGGAGGGGTGGAGGGGTGGAGGGGAGGAGGGGTGAAGGGGAGGAGGGGTGGAGGGGCTAAGAGTTGTGTCCAGAGGAATGGGAGGTGGTGTACATATGACTCTTTTTTTCTCTTTTCCTCCAGACTCAGCCCTGGGTACAGAGACCAAGATCTGGGGTTCTCTCAGAGGGCTCCACCCGAAGATGGTGCAATGGTCAAGGCCACAGACTTTGTTCCAGGTCTGGAGGACTCTCAGAGCCCCTCCACCCCGTTGGGTGGTGGTGATAGGAGAGATGGCATTACGACTTTGTCCTTCACACTGCAGACGCCCTCAGCAGGGACAGCTGATTTACAGCAAGCTTGGACAGAGCAGGAAAGGATACAGCCCCGTTCTCCAGCCCTGCAGGAAGGTCCCAGAATAGTTGCGGTGGGGTAGCTGTTGAAGAGGTCAAGCAGGGCTAGCCACTATTGAAAATGAAGGGGGCGGGTCCTCTTCCATCTCAGAGAGATATCAACCAGGCTCTTTGAAGGAAAGAAAGTAATTTCATCACTGCAGAGCTTTGAAATTAATTTATCGCAATTAGAGCGAGAGCCCTGGTTCTGAGCACGTTCGGCTTACCGCTCAGCTCTGCGGCAGCGGCTGTGCAGCAGGAGCATGAACTGAAGGGAACTGTTGCCATTCCATCTTCAGATATCTGATTCCTCCCACCCAGGCCCACCAAAGTCACACAGGGGTGGGGAACCAGGCCAGACTGGAATCCAAGCCTAGTGCCTGCGCTGACTCTGTCTGGCTATGGGCCGCTTTGCCACTGTCCAGGCTTTGATGACCTCATAGTCGCGTCATTCCCGTGGACAAGTTCCTCCACGTGCTTCTCCCCAGCTCTACAGGCATATCAGGTACCTTTTCTGGTGCTACGACAAAATACCCCACAAAAGCCACTTAAGGAAGGAACAGTTTATTCTGGCTCATGGTTTGAGGGTAGCGTCCTTCATGGTGGAGAAGCCATGGTAGCAGGAATGTGAGGCAGCTGCGCACACTGCATCTGCAGTCAGGAAGTAGAGAGGGATGAATGCTGGTGCTCAACTCGCTTTTTCCATTTTATGCAGCCAGGGACCCCAGCCTAGGAATGGCGCCACCCACATTTGGAACGGGGCTTCCCAATTGAGTTATTCTTCCCAGGCATATTCAGAGGCTTTGTCTCCCAGGTGACCCTCTATCCTGCTAAGCTGTCACTGTGGATGAACCAGCACAGTAGACGTGTTTTCAGTTCACCCACGGCCCACACCTGATGAGTCTCCTTCCTGTGGGGACAGGCATCATTCAGTCACTCTGTCATGGTCCTCCACTGGGGGGGAGGTGCTGAGGTTACAGAGCCCTTCCTTGAGTTAGGTGTCGGGAGCACGTAGGGGAGTAGGTACACAGCTTCCCTTGTGTAGAGCACTCACTAGGAAGATGCATCTCCTGGGCCTGGATGGATGTCCTGGGCAGCTCTAACCAGTGACCACATAGCGGAAGCTTACAGCAACAGAGTTGACACAGTGTGCAGTGGAGGTGTTAGTGGGGCCGTGATCCCTCTGGGGACTCTCGGGGAGGGCCCTTCCTGTCTCCTCCCACTCTTTGTGACTCCAGGTGAACTCGAACTGTGGTCATGCTACTTGTATCTCTACCTCCCTATTCACGTGGTTGACTTCTTTTTGTGTCTCTGAGCATCTCCCCCTTCCCCCATAGATCCCTGGCTATTAGATATGGGGTTCAGCCCACTTGTTAAGATTAATTGTTACCGTCTACTTGGCTGGATTTAGGATCACTGTAGAAGCGCGTTGTACAGTGTCTATAAGGAGGCCTCCCAATGAAGAAAGACCCGCCCTGCATGCGGGTGGTACCATTCCCTAGGCTGAGTTCTCCAACTGTATAAAAGGACAGCGCTCAACACCAGCATTCGTGTCTCTCTGCTTCTTGACTGCAGACGCAGTGTGACCTCAAGCCCCTGCGTCAGTGGCTTCTTTACCATGGTAGTTTGTGCCCTCATACTGCCAGCCAAAATGAACCCTGCCATCTTTAAGCAGTTTCTGTCAGGTGTTTTCTCATACCAACAGGTGGTAACTTAGCCGTTTGACCCTTATCTTTATCACCAAGCAAGGTCACATTCTACATTCTGAGGCAAATGGATTTGGGGTAAATGACATTTGGCTCCCAGCAGTGTTCCTTCTAACTCTCTACTCTCTGAATTGTGCACAATTTTTGGGGGGGGGACAGAACAAGGTATATGTATGTGTATTATATATAAAAGGCGGGATTTACTGAGTTGCCTTATACCAGACAGACTGGAGAACCAGATAACTTGGTGGCTACCCAATCCACAAATCTTAGCAGCAGCCCCAATTTGATGCTGAAGGCCTAGAAGCCTTGGACAGTTGGACTTGAGTCCAAAGTAAAAGGTCAAAGAAGCTGGTGTTTGGTGGACTTTTGGTCCTGCATGCTTTGCCTTCTTTGGCCTAGCCCTAGCATCCGGGAGTCACCCCATTGTGAGGCACAGCCCATGCTGACGGTGGACGTTTTCCTCCTGGTGATTGTTCTGCATGTCAGCTGTTTCCCCACATACAGGCACCCAGGTCTGTCTCACCGACATTTCTTAAATCAGGCAGGCTAACCAGCAAGAGAAAAGGTCTCATGGGGGGAACAGCTGGGGCCTGTGGGGCCATTACTACTCCCCTACCCAAGTCCATACTCCTTCGCTGACCATAGCCTCACAACAGTCCCCCGAACCCCAGCCTTGTACTCTCTGGGTCATACCAGATTTTCACGAGGTCACAAGGCCCAGAGTGCCCTTGGGATAGAACTGCGCTTCTCACCCCAATGGAGCAGGCTCTTTGCATCCTGCTGCATCTGCTGAGCACTGTGGATGCCGGCTGAGACTTGCCCATCAGACTGGTCTCTGAGGATGAACTCTGGGAGGTGGTACCTTATTCCCAGTATCCAGGGACTGAGGTAGGATGGTGGACAACAGAGCCGCTGACGGGACCCTTAGACTCACTGGAGCGTCACTCCTCTGAGTGGTTCTCTGTGGTCCTCATCAGAGCATCTCCCACCCCCTATTAGTTAAATCTGTCCCATTGGTACTTGTAACATGATGGAAACTCGAGAGAAGCATCCCAGGGCCCAGGAGCTGCCGCCTGCCATCACTGTGGAAAATAAATCTCCTTCCCTGATAGCAGGCAGTGTCTGCAGTATTTCATAATTGGCGAGATGAAGAGCCCCGGTTTTTTGAGATGTTTGGGAATAACTCAGTTTAAAAGACCACGTCCTAACAACCGGAATGGGCCGATTATGCCAGGATAATCCACTGAGAATCATTGCTGCACACGGTAGGGAAATGAGTCTGAATGATTGCCAAAAGTTTGCTGAGAGTCTCACGTTCCCACTGCCAGGAGACACGTTAACGCCCATTTGTTAAAAATGTTTTTGAGGTTTATTTCCAATAGAAGGATTTGTTTCATTTAAGTGTGTCCTCCAAAATGCTTACTGTGACAAGGCCATTCATCTGCCCTCACCCTCTGACTCTGCAATCTGGAAGTTGCCTGAGGTCTGGGGCATCCCAGCCTTGTTGAGACAAGAGAAAGATGAACCCCAGCCCAGTAGGAGAAGCAGGGCACACTTACTCATGGCACCCAGGGGCCAAGTCATCGCCTAGCTGTTCCTCTAGAGGGACTACTGTGTGTCCTGCTGTCCCTGTTCTAGAGCAGTGGGGTTTTCAGGGGAGCTGGTAGGAGGCTTCATGGATACAGAAAAGAGCAGGTAGATGAGGAATGGAAACCATAGGGGCATCTAGGACCACATCCCAGCTTCTCTCTTCCATGGGGGCTTTAGGAGAGGAGCTAGGTCAGGGTATTCCCCCATGGGGACAGAGGAGCCAGGACAGGGTGTTCCTCCATGGTGACAGAGGAGCCAGGTCAGGTGTTCCTCCATGGGGACAGAGGAGCAAGGTCAGGTGTTCCTCCATGGGGACAGAGGAGTAAGGTCAGGTGTTCCTCCATGGGGACAGAGGAGCCAGGACAGGGTGTTCCTCCATGGGGACAGAGGAACCAGGTCAGGGTGTTCCTCCATGGTGACAGAGGAGCAAGGTCAGGTGTTCCTCCATGGTGCCAGAGGAGCCAGGACAGGGTGTTCCTCCATGGGGACAGAGGAGCCAGGTCAGGGTGTTCCTCCATGGTGACACAGGAACCAGGACAGGGTGTTCCCCCATGGTGACAGAGGAGCCAGGTCAGGTGTTCCTCCATGGGGACAGAGGAGCAAGGTCAGGTGTTCCTCCATGGGGACAGAGTATTGTGTGACTATCTGGCTATCAGGCTGTGATCCCAGGGCTCTAGGCTCAGAAGGTGTCTTTTCCACTGTAGAGAATTCTCTGATCTATGGGTGTGTTGGATGTTGTTCAGAGCAGCCTACCTGCCCAGATGTTCCCATTGATGCTCCAGCTGGGCAGTAGCTGAAGACCCAGCTCGTGACAGGCAGGGTTGGGCAGGTGATGCTGACTCTCATCTGTAGCCCACAGCCCCTGAGTTCTATCTGTCAACTCTATGCTGAGAAGCAAAGGCTCAGGCTCCCCCACCCCTCCTGTCCACCCAGCATCATGGGCTCCAAGCATATAGGGTTTTTGCAGCAGGCCAGGGACCAGGACCCTCTCTCTTTTAAATACCCTGTGCACAAGGGCCTCTGTCCCCTGACTTCTCCCGCGTTCCTTGATTTCTGGGTCTGCTCTGTTGGAGCCTGCTGACATCCCTCCCTGCTAGCTGAGGGATCCCTGCCAGCCCTGTGGTAACAGGTGGAGGCCAGAAACGCTGCTGTAATTAACAGCTTTATCTCAGAGTTCTCTTTGTTCCAGCCTGGGGAGCTTTTCATGCATTCTTCTCCAGCAAACAAGAGCCTTCCACTTCAGGATGAATGCTGCCAGGAAGGAGATTGTTGGCTAGGGATGGGTAATGCAGAGGAGGAGGCAAACGGTGGGTGGATTGATTCCCTGTGGGCCTCAGTCACTGGGCCCCGTGATCCGAGGTTCATGGCCTCAAATTAGAATGCAGAGTGCCAGAAGGCTTCTCTGTCATGGGAAACTGAGTCAGGCTCCACTGTGTACACCAAGCCTGGCCTGGGTTCTACCGATTCTTCCGGTCTCCGTGTGTGCCCTTCCTTGACAAAACCTTCCTTTCCAAAGGTGACCATGGAACTGGGGAGAATGAGGTCATCTTTTGGGGTTTTAGCCTCACTAATAAAAGAATTTAATACTGGGCTCCAAAAGAAATTGGGGAGCAATTTTATTAATGCTTGAGAGCAAACCCACAGGGAAGGCAGGCTGTCAATCTCAGGAAGAATTGGTGGAGAAAAAGCCGTGACTTTGAAGTTAGGCACTGAGGTAAGAGAGACACCACGAAAACCCAGATCATCATGGCAAGTGAACAGAGGCCAGTACTAGTACTTGAAAATTAAAGTAAGAGAAGGAAAGGAAAACCACACTTAGCACCAGGCCGTGGCTTCAAAGGACTCCACGCTCTTGATTCCCAGGATAAAGAACTTGTCAGATACGGACATATACAGTTAAAGGTATATGAGATTGACTCTGTGTGTGTGTGTGTGTGTGTGTGTGTGTGTGTGTGTTGTGCATGTGTGTTGTATGTGTCTGTGTGTGACAACAGTAAAAAGAGGTCATGAATCGGAGTGGGAGTGGGAGGGAGCCTGGGAGGAATTGGAGATAGGCGGGAAAGGGGAAGAAATGATGGGAATATAGTACTCATAGGAATAAGAAATAAAAACAATAAAAGCAAGAGAAATAGAGACAGGTTATTTAGACAGGAAAGGTACTTTCAAGAAAGACAGTGGTCAGGTGGGAGGAGGGAGGAGCCCCACAGAGCTGGCCCAGGAGCTGCATGGTCCTGTCTAGGATGTTCACACAGCAGCTCCTCTCCCAGGTTTGCACATCTTGGACTATGCATGCTCTGTTAGCCAGAGGAAGCACTGACTGGGGAGGGCATCCAGTGCTTCTCTGAAAACTGCCTTTTTAAAAATGGAAATTCTAATTATTGAAGAGCCAAGCAGGCACTCAAAGGTTTGGAGAAATTCACTTTTATTTGCACAGTCTAGGATCCACGCTAATGTTCTGTGTAGGTCCAGCAGCAGCCCACAGTTTCTTTCAGCTTCTATATAGGTTAGGCAGTGCTAGGTCCAAAGTGGGACCCAAAATGGCAGTGCTGCTGACAGTGTCCTTAATGACAGTGTGGGTTCAGCTCTGGCTGGACTCTGGTGAGGTAAATAGAAGGATTGCTACTTAAAGGCAGCATTCCTCAGAAGTCTTGCAAAGTGGGGTTTCTGTTTGTCAGGAAAAGCCATTACTTCCCTTATCTGTCCTTACAGCCAGTTGTCTCTGGCAAAGGGCATCTAGTTCCTGATTAACCCAGCCTTATGCAAGTTCAAAATTCCCATGCTGTTCTGGCCCTGCAAGTCACCTCCGGCAGCTAACTCCCAGGCTGTGCTAGCTAACCTCCCTTCCCCCATGCTACCTGATCCCCCTGAAACTGGCAAAGCTTTCCCACCAGTTTTCCTCTACCCTATGAGACAGCCCAGCAGTTTGATCCCCAAATAAACTTTTCTTTCTACCCACAGAGTAATCTAGTTCAGCAGTTTCTCTGCTCCCCAATACTTACAGACAGCACTGTTGAAATCCCTATCTATGTGGCCATCTAAGAAGGTGATCTTGGAGTCCCATGCTAGCCAAGGGAAATTCCCATTACAGTTCAACAGGCTTGCTGGAACAAACATTATAGGGAGCAATTCAAACCAGGGTCTATGGTTTGGTCAGGCAGTTGTGGCAACCATTCCTTATCATGCGCTCTTGAGATCATTTGCTTCTCATGATAACAGGAAGGGGCTTGACCAAGCTATCACAACCCAGCATACTTAATTAAAACCTGAAGTCATTCTATTCCTACCCAATCCTATAGTTTCTAGGCCAGGACTAGATACCATAATACAAAGTAGTAATTTGATTTTCCTAGGTTCATTTGTAAGAGAACAAAATACATATTCTTGGTCCCCGTTATCCCGGGCATAATCAGCTTTTGCTGTGTAAAGTCCAGATAAAGAGGGCTTTGAGAAAACAGGCCAGCTTCCCGGCCTGAGTTCCAGAGCCTGCAGATCGCCTGGGAACTGCACAGAGCTCCCAATCCCGGCGGGAGCATCAGGTAAACAGGCCAGCTTCCCGGCCTGTGTTCCAGAGCCTGCAGATCTCCTGGGAACTGCACAGAGCTCCCAATCCCGGCGGGAGCAAAGCACCCCAGACTCCAGATCTTCTCTCCCACCAACGATTCCAGGAAAGGAGAGGAGGCTGGGAGTACAGGGAAGTAGCTGTCCCTCTGGCATCATCAGGTAAACAGGCCAGCTTCCCGGCCTGAGTTCCAGAGCCTGCAGATCGCCTGGGAACTGCACAGAGCTCCCAATCCCGGCGGGAGCACCAGGTAAACAGGCCAGCTTCCCGGCCTGTGTTCCAGAGCCTGCAGATCGCCTGGGAACTGCACAGAGCTCCCAATCCCGGAGGGAGCATCAGGTAAACAGGCCAGCTTCCCGGCCTGTGTTCCAGAGCCTGCAGATCGCCTGGGAACTGCACAGAGCTCCCAATACCGGCGGGAGCAAAGCACCCCAGACTCCAGATCTTCTCTCCCACCAACGATTCCAGGAAAGGAGAGGAGGCTGGGAGTACAGGGAAGTAGCTGTCCCTCTGGCATCATCAGGTAAACAGGCCAGCTTCCCAGCCTGAGTTCCAGAGCCTGCAGATCGCCTGGGAACTGCACAGAGCTCCCAATCCCGGCGGGAGCCAAGCACCCCAGACTCCAGATCTTCTCTCCCACCAAAGAGACCAGGAAACTACAGGAACCAGGGAGACCAGGGGAGTAGCTGTTCCGGATCAGGTACAACAGGACCCAGCATAGGGTCCAGGGGACCAGGTAGGAGGCTAAGCGCCCCAGATTCCTGTTCTTCTTCTCTACCCACGGACCAGCATTTGGACAAGGCATAGAAGAACCACCAGATTACTGGACTTACTAGCACCCACCAAAGGGAACTCTGGTCCCCAGACCAGGAAGGGTCTCTTTCTGCACCCACTAAAAGAAGAGATGGGAAAGAGACAATACAAAAACACAGTCAGCAACAGAAAAACAAATATGACACCGCCAGATTCTAGAGACTCCACACCAGCAAGACCCCAATATTCAAACGCGAAGGAAGCAGAAGAGAACGATCTTAAAAGCACTTTCATGAAAATGATAGAGGCCCTAAAAGAGGATATTGGAAAATCCCTCAAAGAAATGGAAGAAAAAACAAACCAAAAAATGCAAGAAATGGAAGAAAAACAAACCAAAAAATGCAAGAATTGGAAGAAAAACAAACCAAAAACGGCACGAAATGGAAGAAGAAATGAAGCAAAAAATGCAAGAAATGGAAGAAAAAGCAAAGCAAAAAATGCAAGAATTAGAAGAAGAAACATACCAAATAAGGC